GAAACAGAATCTACTCCTAGTCATCCAGAATGCCCTTGAAGTAGGTGGGCAGGCTCCATGCTGCAGGTGGTTAAGTGGCCCTGACACTTCTTCTGGAGGCCCTTGAGGACTTCTAAGCCCTCTTGCTATCATCCATATATTCCCACTGAACTGAACCTTAATTGACAGTCACACTAATCACCAAAGAAGTTTCTGGCTAAGGGAGACAAAGTACTCATAACAACAATCATCTATCATCTACCATAATACTCTCTACTGTGGCTTTTAGTTGGTAGCAATGATTTCAAAACTTGCTTGCTGTTGAGTTTTAGATGTCGTGTCTTACCCAGACCCTGCCCATGCCTCCAACTGCATCTTGAGCTACTCTTCATTTGCTGAGGGCATTTGCTCAGGACACTCCAGCTCCACCAGCGTTTTCCAGTTCCTCTAATACTACACTGACCTCCTTCCAACTCATCCAACACATCAAACTACTTCCTGCCTCAGAGCCTTTCCCCTGCGTGGACATATTTTTCTCCATCTCTTGCTTGACCAATTTGTTTCTACTCAACTTTCAGATTCCTGTTTTAAGGTTGGTTTTAAGAACAGCCTTCTGAGATCCTCCTGAGGTCAAGTTAGATTCTCCTATTTTATGCTTACATAAAAGTCTATAGCTCAACTTCAGAGCACTTGTTAATTTGTACCATTATGGGTTCAAAATCGCCTCCCTCATTAGACTCTATGCTGCAGAAGGGCAGCAACCAGGTCTGTACTCTTTACAATTTTATCTCTAGTATCTAGCATAATGCCTGGCCGATAAATACTTAGGAATAAACAAAAACCCCAGTAGATTTAATTTGTAAAATTATAATTATATATTCACTATACAAAGTTAGAAAATACAGGAAAGGAGAAAGGGACGGAAAAATTAGGAAATACAGAAAGTATAGACTTTAAAAAATCTTTAATTTTAAACTCAGCAATAATTACTATTAACATTTTGGTGAATTTTCTTTAAACAATTTTTCCCTTCTGAATGTCCTGCCTGTTACTATTCTAGTCTATCCTATCCAATCCTTTCTTATATATTTATCTGCAAACCTTTAATCAAACTGGAATCATAGTATATAATAGTATATAATTAGTTTTGATGAGATTTTTCCATTTAGCATTATATAATCAACATGAACTGCTTCTCTCCTTTCAGTCCGAGTACAGACATGAAGAAAGGGATATGATTCCAATCTCCCACTTAGTTACACATCCTGAGATTAAAATTCAGTTTTCANGGTTCAGGCAATTCTCCTGCCTCAGCCTCCTGAGTAGCTGGGATTACAGGCATGCTCCACCATGCCCAGCTAATTTTTTGTATTTTTAGTAGAGATGGGATTTCACCATGTTGACCAGGATGGTCTGGATCTCTTGACCTCGTGATCCACCCGCCTTGGCCTCCCAAAGTGCTGGGATTACAGGTGTGAGCCACCACGCCCGGCTGGATAAAATTTTTATTATTTTCCATAGCTCTGTCTAGAGCCTACTTCCACTTGCTTGATGGTTTGATTACTACAATTAAGTCAATGGTAACTAGAATCCTACAATTCTGAAAAAATGCATAATCCAAAAATTTATACATGTTTGAGGCTTAAAGCAAGTGTAAATCCTCATATACAAGATAAAGGCAATACTATTCCAAGCAGTTAAACCAACAGTGCTCTCAATCAACCAGAAAAGGAAGTTAAACAGCCTCTACATAAATCCTGTTAGTTGGTGGAGATGTCACTATAGCTGGTTTATCTAAATTAAACAAAGCTTCCCTTGACTATGAACTGCACATACTGGCTATGTTGTGGGGAAACATTCCATAAACTGACACTTCTAGTCCCTAGATTCCACTTAGCATCATGTGACATACTTCTTTGAAGACCACTCCCTTTCTGGTTACTGTTCTCGTCCAACCTGATCTAAAGTCTACTGAATTGGAATATTTAAGGGCCCTTTGTGATGGCATCTATGATTCCGTGCAGCTGAATATGTTCAATTATTCCCTAGGAAATAGTTTTCTTCTTCCTTTGTTTGTTTAGGCAAGAAATCATTGTGAGATATCCAGAATGTTAAGTGATTCTACCCCAGAGCATGTGTTAGAAACTACAAGGAGCATTTTATGACTTTCGATTCTAAAAGGTTTGTCAGCTTTAGATTTCTAGAATTGGTTGTGTCCATGTTTCTTTTCATCCTATTGGGACTTACTGTTGTTAGCAACCTCTTGTGTGGTTTTAAGATATCTTGACCTCTTTGAAACCTTTCCAGGTGTCACTGCCACTTTCTTGATCTCTGCAATGTTAGTTACATTGTTTAGTGGAGTTCAGTTCCATGAACTTTAGAAATCCTCCCTGAGACTATGAATTGACTAACACCCAAGGTAGCATAAACATGTAGACACAAATGTTCCTAAAACGAAGCTTGCTGGGCAATGCCGGATATGACTTGGAGTCTGGAAAAAGGAATATTTTGCTCAATTGTGCATCTATGACAAGCTCCAGGTGCAGTTTGAAGTTGAGTGGCTAGTTTTTCTGATCCTCATGTAGCCTCTCGTTAGAACACAGCAGAATTTGCAACTGGGAATGTAAGGAATTCCATGAAGACCCTCTGGACCCATTAAGGCTTCTGGCTTCAGAGGGTCCTAAAACATACTTATATTAGCATACAGAAATATAGTAAAGAGACACTGTTTTTTCATAAATATCCTCTAGGTTTTAGTCTTAAGAAGATTATAATGACTGCAACTTATTTAAAAAGTTGCATGCAGAAGATGCAGTCACAAATTTAAAAGAAAAAACAAAGTTTATTAGGTTTCTGTTTTATGTTTACAGTTTGTAATTAAAAAGCTCCTTTTATTTTTGGTAATACAGTTAAGACTTTGCAAGGATTCATACTTGGGCTAAGAATCCCCCTATTAGTTTAACTTTAGATGTGGCCTACTATTTCAGTGATTTCTTAGCCCTTCTTTTCAAACTTCACAGGTTGGCTATTCTAACAGACAAATCATGTTGCCAAAACCTAGGGGTGTGAGACAATGTCGAAGTGACACTGTACTGAGAATCAAAAGATAAGGAATTCAGTCCTAACTCTACCACTACCTAACTTAACATTTCTATTTGTTTCCTTATCTATAAAATATGCATAACAAATAATACAAACTGCACAGGAATGCTGTGAAAATAAAACTTGTATAAATAAATACAAAAAGGCCTTGAAACAGTGCAAAGGAGTGTGAAAATGAAAGGTGTGCTGGTGACAGTGGTTGTCTATTCATTCGTTCCTGCTGACACAGAAACTATATGTCTGTAATGTGAAAACTGCTGCTCCCCACCCTCCTTAGCCAGTGGTTATAATCACCCTTCCCATCCTGGCTCCAGCGTCCAGGGAATTCCAAGAGTCTCTGAGGGATATGCAAGCTATGCATCTTCAAATGACTATGAAGAGTTATCCTTCCTCTGCTTTGCTTTCTATCAGCTAAGGCCTGGAGCTTGCTGTGTGTGCAACAGTAAAGTGACTACAGCTATAGTATACAATTACACGTAACTGCAGCTTCTCAGAGGCTTCTTTCCTGTCCCTCATAGTTCATTGCTGGGAATGCAATGACAATGGAAACTTAGAAGATCTGAAAGGTTATACAGCAAATATTACCGTAAGTTATCTCTAGGTGGTTGGGATTATAGGTGTTTTTTGTTCAGTTTTGTCAGTGTACCTGTATGCTCTTACTTTTGCAATCCATAGGAAAAAAAATTTAAAAATAGATTATTTTGAGACAAATAAAACACCTTTTAAGTATGTTACAAGCGGAAAACAACTTAAACACTTTTAACACAGACATTTCTCAAGAGGAAAATTAGAAAACAACGGCATGTGATTTACCCTAAAAATACGAGTGCAATACCATATCAGACAACAAAATTTTGAAAACACTTTTATGAAAAAAAGACATGTATTTCAGTGTCCTGCCAGTTAATGTGAAGTAAATATATTCAAATAAGAAATGCTGCATTATAACTACTTTTCCAAATTGTATACCAATAGTGCGGCAATCTGATGAAAAAACAAGTAAGAAATCAGAATCTAGCTACCCTCAGATGGAGCTCGAGGGATAATGTATTCTGAAGCTGGTCTAGAGACCAGACGGGAAAACTTGTTCTCTAATCTAATGACTTTCTTTTAATCACAAGCAGGCAGTAGTTTCCTTATTACCCGGAGCTTAAGAAATACATTATTCTTGAGAGTACTTCCTAGGATTTCTTTTGCTCACTTAAGACTCTATCTTTGAATTTAATTCATCTTCATATTATCGCTGCAGGGCACATATCCCTAATTATTCCCATCTAAAGGGACAGGAAAATGAAACTACACTCCTTGGAAAGCAGACATCTTTGGTATGTCTTTTCTGTGTTCCCTTGGACATAGTTTGTCATTGTGCACACTGCATCACAGATGGTGAGCTGTCTTTGGAGGGCAAGGCCTGTGACTTACCTGTCTTTGAATTCCCAGTGCCTAGTACGTGCCTGGTACCAAGGACACACACAGAAAAAAATGTGAAGAAACAAAGAATAATAATACCCAACACATAATGTTTACGTATTAATGTCTTATACATATGAATTCACTTAGTCCTTAGAACCCTATGAAATAGGTACTACTTTTATCCCCATTTTACATATGAAAAAACTGAAGAACAGAAAGTAGAGCAAGGTTACACAGAGCTAGGATCCAAACCTGGCTCTCGAGTCAGCCTCTTCATCACCACACCCTGCTGCCCCCTAAGCGCCGTGCTCAACAGGAAAATGCTCCATTCCAAGAGAAGCGTGTGCTCCCATCTCTAAACCCTCTTGGGTTTCTGTCAGATGTAGCTACACTGTGTGGTTCCTTTGGAGGCTTAAAAAGGGAAATAGCTGGACAGGCACACAAGTGCAGAAGAAATGAATCCCCAACCTTAACAATGGCTGTTTGTAAGGGTGTTTCTCAAATACCTGTGGGGATTTGTGAGAGCGCCAGCTGTACTGGTGACTGTGGAGACTCGCCAGCAGAACATTTTCATCAGTATCCACCTGGCCAAACCGCAGTGTCTCCTGTGTGTCATTACAGATCACAAAATGGCTGAAGACCAACTCTTCTACCTCAGGGCATTTGTTCTGAAAGAAAAAGGATACGAAAGCCAATGTGGATCAGATTAATTGCAAGATGTTTGGCAGCTGTCTGCCCAGTGGCGATTGTTACAACACAGAAACCCTAAAAGATCTGTTGTCATTAGCTCTGGTATACAAAGTATTCTATACTGCCAGGATAAGCACACATACAAAAATACCTTTAAGAGATTTTAAATGTTCCAAGAATGTGTTTTGATTTATACTCCCTCAAAATAAATCATACACACCGAAGAGTAAAAGAACAATGCGATCCCTCAAACTTTTAACATTTCTTAAAGTGAATTAACATGCTCCAAAGAGTGCGATACTGGGTAGTGCACGTTTTTGAGCAGAGTACTGGAGGCTAGAATTACCATGTTCCAGGCCTTCTAAACTCAACAATCAAGACCAATTACCAAAGCCACAGTTTGTACCCTACAGAAAGTAAGAATCATTTAGGTAAAACATCCCCAGATCCCTTAAGAGGGAGGGTGGATATGGGTGTGTGTAAATCTGCTCAGGGAGAGATGTAAATAAAACCATAACTTTCCCTCTATTGTTAAGAGGCTGAACACACAAAACAGATCAACTCCAGAGTCAGTGTAAGCCAAGTTGCAGTTTTCATGAGAAATAATGTTAGTTGAAACAGTTTTCAGTATCTGTTTCAGTTAATAGTCATCAATCAGCTAAAATCCTTCATTAGTCAGCTAAAGCGCAGCAAATTAATAATATATTCATGTGTTGATACCTCCTTTCTCATTTAATGGTGTCTCCACTGGTTGCTATTATATTAAAACAATGGCAAAGTGAAAAAGTATTTCCGTGCTTACTCTTTTATCACTCTGGTTAGGCTATGGCTTAAAAACAATAAATATACTTTTGGTAAACTAAAACAATGCTAAATAAATTACTTGAGAATATAAGAAAAAAATCCTAAGTAGCTAATTAATTTGCAGATAATGGGAGATAACATGTAACTGATGCTTCTCCAGTTGGCCTCTATTTCCAGGCTATGTATCTAAATAATGTCAAAATGCCACACTCCATCATTTGCCACTTTACTAAGAAGTGGGGGAGTAAACAGAGATACAACTTAGAGGCACAGTGATTCAGGCACACAGGAGGCATGAAGCCAGCTAACAATATTTCTCATGAAAACTTCAACTTGGCTTACACTGACTCTGGAGTTGATCTGGTTCCAGACTACAGATGAATATATCTGGAATCTGGCCTGGGGCATGACCAACTTGTGCCTATCAGGGTACAGACTCATCTTGGGAAACAGAATCTACTCCTAGTCATCCAGAATGCCCTTGAAGTAGGTGGGCAGGCTCCATGCTGCAGGTGGTTAAGTGGCCCTGACACTTCTTCTGGAGGCCCTTGAGGACTTCTAAGCCCTCTTGCTATCATCCATATATTCCCACTGAACTGAACCTTAATTGACAGTCACACTAATCACCAAAGAAGTTTCTGGCTAAGGGAGACAAAGTACTCATAACAACAATCATCTATCATCTACCATAATACTCTCTACTGTGGCTTTTAGTTGGTAGCAATGATTTCAAAACTTGCTTGCTGTTGAGTTTTAGATGTCGTGTCTTACCCAGACCCTGCCCATGCCTCCAACTGCATCTTGAGCTACTCTTCATTTGCTGAGGGCATTTGCTCAGGACACTCCAGCTCCACCAGCGTTTTCCAGTTCCTCTAATACTACACTGACCTCCTTCCAACTCATCCAACACATCAAACTACTTCCTGCCTCAGAGCCTTTCCCCTGCGTGGACATATTTTTCTCCATCTCTTGCTTGACCAATTTGTTTCTACTCAACTTTCAGATTCCTGTTTTAAGGTTGGTTTTAAGAACAGCCTTCTGAGATCCTCCTGAGGTCAAGTTAGATTCTCCTATTTTATGCTTACATAAAAGTCTATAGCTCAACTTCAGAGCACTTGTTAATTTGTACCATTATGGGTTCAAAATCGCCTCCCTCATTAGACTCTATGCTGCAGAAGGGCAGCAACCAGGTCTGTACTCTTTACAATTTTATCTCTAGTATCTAGCATAATGCCTGGCCGATAAATACTTAGGAATAAACAAAAACCCCAGTAGATTTAATTTGTAAAATTATAATTATATATTCACTATACAAAGTTAGAAAATACAGGAAAGGAGAAAGGGACGGAAAAATTAGGAAATACAGAAAGTATAGACTTTAAAAAATCTTTAATTTTAAACTCAGCAATAATTACTATTAACATTTTGGTGAATTTTCTTTAAACAATTTTTCCCTTCTGAATGTCCTGCCTGTTACTATTCTAGTCTATCCTATCCAATCCTTTCTTATATATTTATCTGCAAACCTTTAATCAAACTGGAATCATAGTATATAATAGTATATAATTAGTTTTGATGAGATTTTTCCATTTAGCATTATATAATCAACATGAACTGCTCTCCTTATAAACATTTTCTCTCCTTTCAGTCCGAGTACAGACATGAAGAAAGGGATATGATTCCAATCTCCCACTTAGTTACACATCCTGAGATTAAAATTCAGTTTTCATAATTAATTGGGATCAATCTTCTGTTAACACAGAGGTTAAGTTACCAGATGGAGCTTGAGTAGAAAAAAAATTATACTACTTCATCTCTAAAAACTGATCTTTAATACATGATGAGGGTTTTAGGAAAATATGTAAATTAAAGAACACAAGGAGGTTGTTTACATTTTTCTAAAGAATATTCAGAGTCCTCATGGAACTGTTTCTCTACTGCTCCTTCATCTGTGGAGTTCATTATACTGTAACAAGTTTAAGCATTTCTTGGAATGTTTTAAATTCTGTTATAATATTTAAAAGTTTGTACGTATTTGATGTCACATCATAGATGTCGAGCCTCAGAATGCTCACTTGGAATCGTAATTAAAAGATGGCTTATCCACAGTTAAGTTTCATGGAGTGTCATACAGGCATTTGCAATTAAACAAAGATACCATTTTGGTGTATGGGAAGACACAAGTGTAACCTTAATTTAAGAAAAAAACCCTTTTAATACTATTTTGTCCAAATCTGGGAAAGTGATATAGAAATGTAAAACAAACTGCAAATGGTATTTTGGATCCTTAATCTGTTTTCACAAAACAATCATCATTTATAAAAGAGAAAAGAAAATCTGTAGCCAGAGAAATCAGACACTGATGAAGGCTTCTGTTAATCTTGAACTCATGACCTAAAGGTGGAAGGCCAAATTGTTTCATGCTTCAACTGTCTGGTCCATCCACACTGGGTAAAAATGACTTGTCTCCAATATGAATCCAATAAAAAGTATGTGGAGAACTCACATCACTTTGCTTGCTTATTAAATTCATATTTTTCACTGGCAGCAATTACACTGCATGTGAGCAGTATACACACAATAAAATCCAAGTTTGGGAAACTAAACTTCCCCTTCTAAAGGGAATAAACCACATTCATAACATCTTAGAAACAATGAACTTAATAACCCTCTGTAAGCCCATTTCAATGTCAAATGTCCTATAATTTCAAAGTAGTGCACTTGCATATTTACTTTAGAATACACAGGGTTAGGTGCCTACCACATTAAAACTTGGTGGCAAGTACCCTTGACATGAGAGGAAACAAGAAAATTACAGCAACAATTACAGAAGTATATCCTCTTGTGGCTCATGTTAACATTGCCAAATCCCTGTATAAATCAGAACCAACTATTCATAGAATGTACCTGTCAGCAATATGCTATGTGACATATGGCTCTACTTAATCAAATATACAATTCCATTAAAAAAAAACTCAGAATATTCCTTCAAGGCACTATGTTAGCCAGTCAGTCATTCACACTCTGATGTGGTTTAAAACATTTAAATATTTATGCACCATATTTTATTTATATGTATAGCTGTGTCTAAGAGAGTATTTTTACCCTGGGAAGAAACTGGTTTTTCTGAAGACCATTTTGCAGTAGTTGCTACATATGAGTCCCCTTATAATGGGTCTGATACCAAGACAAAAATATCCTGGGTTTAAATGCTCTATCAATGATTCTTTTACATTTTCTAGGTTTGTTTTTTATTAAATGCATTGTTCAAAATATGACCAGAAAACAGAAATTGGAGCCACAGAGATTTTTTTCACATGGCTATTTGAACCAGCTGCAAAGATTTAGATCACACGAGCTCTTATTTTACGCATGTCCTTTGCAACAAGAAAACCATGGAATGCCCTTAAAAAAGATTTTAAAAATATAAAACAGATGTGTTATCTTCTTTCCCTTTGCTATTGTAGTGCCATGTTAGGCAATTAATTCCTTGGTCTTGTATAGGTCTTCATGCATATAAAGAAAAACATTTATTCCCATACAAATGCTTAGAGAACTAAAGCTCCTCTACCCCTTCACTGCTCCATCCCAGAAGGAGGTCAGTGGGGGATGAAGGACCATTTCTCTTGGGGAGCCAGCTTTGCACAAATGTGTGTAACATATACAAAACATGGGTGAAATGTCTCAGCTTAAATAGCAATACAAACTTGATGGCAATACGATATAACACTAAAATCAGTAAGGAAAGCAGAAGTGATTTGTTCTAAAATTACTCAACATATTATAATACAAATATTCTGTGAAGTTACTTTTGTGCTAGCAGACACACACAGGTTTCCCATTTTAAATATGCCATTTATCATAGGCTTATACTTCATCCCAATGGTTAGTTTCTGATAAGAAATAAAAGTTTAAAAATTATTTAAAATAATCAAGGCTGTCTAACTGATTTAAAAAAATCCAACATTCAAAACTTTTTAGTGAATCAAAAAAAGTCAGAATGATAGTAGAGAAAAAAAACTAAGACTGTATTGTACTCACATATTTCATCTTGTTGCTTTTTTTATTTTGTTTGAAAAGATGGAATGCTTATCATCAGAAAGGCTCACACAGGTTCTTTATTTCTGCAATGGACACTTAGACAATTTGATACATAGCTAAGTCAAAGTTCTGGCAAACTAAAGCCACAATACTTGGAAAAAATTTCTGGGAATATGTTACTTTCCACACAGATGTGGTACATTAGTCACAAAAATGTGGGCATGATCTCCAATGCATGTGTAGAGAACCCATATTCTCCAAAGTTTTTCAAAAATAACATGCATCACTTTGCCAAAACAGAGAAAGCCTCAAGTATAACGGTGCCCATCAAATTCTTCATTCTCTCACATTTTTGTTTGTGTTTAACATTATCAGATGTGATAGGATATATAACCTAATAAAAGATCATATGTGAACAAACTGTAAACTGTTCTGGAATGTGCATACCTGTTGCCAAGCTTGTATTGCAGTGTTTAGAGAATGGACTACATGCTGTCCAAAGTTTACAAATACAGAGTCAACTATCATGGTGCAGTCAAGCAGCTTTTCCACTACATCACTGGAAACTGCCATCTGACCGAAGATGCTGAAGGGTTTCACCACACTTTGCATAGTGACATTTCTGCACTCGAGAAGTTTACAGTCGGCTTGAGCTGCGAACCGGAACTCCTGACAGACAGAATCATTATTCCACTGTCGAAGATACATGTGTGGTTCTCTGAAGGAAACAATCATGTATTCTAGTTCAGATGGCATACTTCTATCAGAAACAAATGGCTGTAGGTACTGTGGTGCAGCTGTTGAGAAAACAACCAAGGAAAACAGCAATTAAGATGAGCCAACGCTTTGTGAAAATAAAGAGTAAAATGACATTCAAACAACTTACTTTTTGATTATTGAAATTAGATTCGGTGTTTAATAAATTCAAATTATTTCTTGAAGATATAATCTTTGGATTGCCATTTTATATTTGCAAACAAACTGTTTTGTTCAATTAGGCCTCTTAAATATATGTTGTCCAAAAGTTAGTTTCACAAAAAGTTGATCACAGAAGTCAATAAATATTTGAAAAGCAGATATCTATCTAAAGAGAATTTTATAGAACTGCTCTGTATCTCCCAATCAAATCTCAAAAACAAAAAAACATGACTCAAAGAGAGGTAGAGAAAGCAGGTTCAACTTCATTTTTGCTGAAAAGGCAAGATGCTTAATAGCAGTTATGTTTGGTTTTAATCTGATTTTCTCTTCCTCCCTTCATTACCTGTAGGTTAAAAACCTAATAAATGAATCAAAATGTATCACCTAGAAAAGGTTTGGTACAGAACATAAAGCTTAAGAAATAATTACCCAAGTAACATTAGTAAACTTATAAAAGGCCACTTTTGGTGTGTGGGAAATTTTAAACTTCCTTCTAAACTTGAAAAAATGAGACCCCTTTAAATTAATTTGAGACTATGCCTATCTTTTGTGGAAGGTATTCATGCTTTTGAAATCAGGCAATACCAAATACTTTCGGAATCTGTTTGCTACTAATGTAATGACTCAGGATACTGAATAAAGAGATCTGATATGGTTTTGTTGGGTCCCCACCCAAATCGCATTTTGAATTCCCATGTGTTGTGGGAAGGACCCAGCGGGAGATAACTGAATGTTTGGGGAAGGTTTTTCCTGTGCTGTTCTCGTGATAGTGACTACATCTCAGGAGATCTGATGGTTATACAAAAACAGGAGTTTCCCTGCACAAGCTCTCTTTGCCTGCTGCCATCCATGTTAAGATGTGACTTGCTTCTCCTTGCCTTCTGCCATGATGGTGAGGTTTCCCCAGCCATGTGGAACTGTAAGTCCATTAAACCTCTTTTTTCTCCCAGTCCTGGGTATGTCTTTATCAGCAGTGAGACAATGGACTACTATAAGATCATAACTGGAATTATGATAAAACCAGCAATTTTTGTAACTTCCTTGAAAATTTTCATTAGGTAGCTCAAAAACACGTCAGCTCAATACCATGGATAACTTCTAGGTTCATAAGTTGGCTCAGAAGTAAAGGGTATGCCTGTGCCAAGTCAACCTCAGAATAACTTTGCCACTGCTTGCTTTATACTTCCAGAAGATAAACGATCTAAGACTGAAGACTTTTGTCTTGAAGACACTCAAGAGAAAATGGTAGGTATTAAAAGGATGTTATTCTGATGCTAAAGTAAAGAGTACCTGTGCCTAGTTGGTCAAGGTGATGACAAAGGCGGAATTCCAGGTGAGCAAACTGGAAGGAAATGCAAAGGGATGGGACAAACCATGGAGTAAAGCAGGAGTCGACTCTGGTACAGGCAGCCAGGGCTGTTGGAGTCACAAGTGGATCACAAGTGCTTTGAGAACCGGACTCACTTGCAGAGCTATGGGAAAGAGGTGATAAAAGAAGTTCAATAACCAAAATTGCCCAATATTACATAAGTGAAATGTCTTTTTATAAGGGTTTCTAAAACTAGTACTCAAAATCCTATAGTCAATATTTTATCAAATCTTCTGTATTTTCTGATGTGAATTAGTTGTTTTTTAAAATTAAGTTCGTGTTAGGCCAGGTGCGGTGGCTCATGCTTGTTATCCTAGTACTTTGGGAGGCCGAGGCAGCAGGATCACTTGCGCTCAGGAGTTCGAGACCAGCCTGGGTAACACAGGGAAACCTCGTCTCTACAGATAATTAGCTGGGTGTGGTGGCATGCACCTGCAGTCCCAGCTACTCAGTGGCTGAGGTGGGAGAACTGCTTCGGCACAGCAGGTCAAGGCTGTCAAGCACTGCATTCCTGCCCGGGTGACAGAGCCAGACTCTGTCTCAAAAAAAAAAAAAATTCACATTGATTATTCTCTACGAATTGTTCACGGAAAACTTTCAAAGCATTCCTCAACTGTCAAGTCATGCTGACCTATCTCCAAATCAATTTGCTTCCATCCACATCTCACAAAACTTATGGGGCATTTGTTCCATTATTGGTTTAAGACCAATGCAATTGAGAACGATTCTGCCATTCAAAAACCCAATACTTCGGTATCAACATAAATATTTCACTTTTGTTTTACTTCTCCAGATTGTTCATATCCATAATCCTATAGGAGTCAGTCAATACTCTTCATTAAGCACTCACTGAATACTGTACTAGGTACCATAAAAGTTATGACCATGTCCAGAAGAATGAGGGTCCTATGGACACCTACAGTGCATGGGTTCTCTCTTCACTTGCCCATCCTCTTAACACTATTTTATACAAGTTAAATCTTTTGTTGTTGTTGTTGAGATGGACTATTGCTTTGTTGTCCAGGCCAGGCTGGAGTACAGTGGCATAATCCCGGCTCACTGCAAACTCTGCCTCCCAGGTTCAAGTGATTCTTCTACCTCAGCCTCCCAAGTAGCTGGGATTGCAAGCGCCTGCCACCATGTCTGACTAACTTTTGTATTTTTAGTAGAGATGGGGTTTCACCATGTTGATCAGGTTGGCCTTGAACTCCTGACCTCAAGTGATCCATCAGCCTTGGTCTCCCAAAGTGCTAGGGTTTCAGGTGTGAGCCACCATGCCCAGCCTATACAAGTTAAATCTAATTAAAATGAATAGTGAAGGCATCCATAGAAGGGAAGATGTCTGCACATGGTGGCTGTTCCAGTGCACAGGAAGCATGCTGCCTAGATTGCATTAATGCTAGTAGGAGCATAAGACCTGGGAATTTGGGATTGTTGGGGGAGAACAAGGTGTGTCCTGTTAATTGTGGATCACTGAATCGATGTTGCCCTTTTCCCACTACTCACTGTCCTCCACTCTCTTCTTTTCAACCTGAAATATGCTCTGTAGCTATTGCAGCCTGGCTCCCAAATTCATGAGGAGCCCAAGGACAAGCACTGTGATTTATAGTATTCTAGGGAGAACTATGACAGGAAACACTAAAGAAACAAATCCTTGATTTTCAAAGAACTCACAGTCTAGCTGGTGATACTCAATACGTAGACATTTACAAACATGATCAAACAGATCCACCAACCAGGAATAGGGAAGTGGGAAGTGCTGCCAGAGTGGAAACACAAGAGGAGCTTAATGGCATGGGGGAATCATGGTATTTTCAGAGGTGTGACTCTTTCATTGGATTTTGGAAGAGGTTGTGAACAGGCTGGTGAAAATGAAAGCTAGGAGCATTCCAACATGTTTACTGCATTGTTTAACCTCAAAGAGTTTACAGTTATGTGGTGTAAGCATTTACTGCAATGCTAGTAAATCTCCATTGCATACAAAGAAAACAGACTCTGGGGCACTAGGTTATTGACTATGCAAAAAATGCAGCTAAGTATATTCTTAAAACATCTATAATTGAGGAATGTAAACCAAGTAACTTTCTAGGAATTTATCTGTAGAGTTAACAAAAGATTTCATTGTCAAGATAAATTAAAACTTGTATTTATTCAGAAACAGGAAAACATATTAGTTGTATATGTGAACAACTAATTAGAACTCTTTCCCTTATACTACTCATATAAGTTTTTAGAAATAGGGTACAATGTTAGTCAAAATATTATAAAAAATACAGGCAAGAGTTCTATGGGGCCAGTTTTTTAAAATGGGTGCACAGTTTGAGGTGTTTATCTGAAGCATTTTTCTGGCCAATTATAATTTTTGACACGCTAAGATTTTCCAAGATGTATTTTCTAACTCCCGAGAGTGGCAAATATTATAACATATTGCAAAAGGTTGCTAAAACATCAGGAGTATCTAATATAATCTTTACTTGTAACAAATTGATAAATCCTTCACTTTTCCTAAATTAAGCGCACAAAGCAATGGCCAGATGTATTTTTAGGTATATACAGTAACTCCTGAATCATAAAATCATACTCCAGTAAGCATTAGTGCCAGTAGCACTACACTAGTCAGCGATACTCCTTCAATCTTGGAATCCTGACTAAAACGGTTACTAGATTAATGTATATTCAAAAATTAAGACTTTTATTTAAAAATTGGAGTCAACAAAATCATACATTTCTTAAACACAAAATATAGTATACGTAATTTAAATATACATTATTTTTTCATTAGCACATTTATAGTTTTTGATATTCTTAACTTAAATCGCCATTATATACTATAAAAGTAGCATGTATGTGTTTACCTTTTACCTAAGGATTAAAGAGGTCTAAGTACAATAGGACTCAATAGTCCTAAATATGAGTGATGACCCTGCTAGAGACTTGCAGTAGCTACATTTGTATAATTACCCTAATTAGGTACAACAGTGGACTTTAATCTGATTCAGATCTCAGAAGGTAAAACATCACATGCATAATAGGCAGAAAGAGAGAAGTAAAAAAAACTCACAACTTATTATAGTTATATTTCAACACTTCTCCTTTTCCCAAAAGACTTTTAAAATAGGTCAAATTCATGGCCAATGACAATGCTCACAGAATTACCTGGTGCTCTTCACTTTTAACATGCTGGAAAATAGCTCCCGGAAGCAAGACCTCTCAGACAGTAATAAACACAATTCACTATTCAGTAGTTTATTCAAAGAGCTTTAAGTTCAGAGGGCTATTTAAGTGTTATTTTTAGAAGAGTGGAAATATTCTAGACAGTGCGAAGGATGGCAGGTGTTTTATTTATTCCTTCGTTTTAGCCAAAGAATTACTTACCAACTGTCCTGAGTGACCTACAGAGGGGATCAATTCTTTAAACAAGGAGTGTCCAGTACATCTAGATGTAGACTGATCCTATCTTAATGGCACTGTGGGGACCTAGGCACAATTCCTAAAGATCCAGCCCTGAATGTCACTCTGGGGTAAACCCCTACAGCACAGCAGGTAATGACGCCCTGAACTTCTTTATGGATCCCTTTATGGTAATAAAGATTTTATAATATAGTATAATATAGCATAGATATTAAGCAGAGAATGACCAGGATAGGAGAACCTAGAATAAAATGTATGCACTGCATTTATATTGTAGTACTGGGCAAGTTATTTCACCTGAATAAATTTCAGTATTTTTCATTTACAAAATGAGTACAGTAATTAGACCTCCCTTTTTCAAGTATTATTACATCAGCTACTGCATATAAACTACTTAGCATGATGCCCACTATTTGATTAAAAAAAGATGGAAAAAATCCACCCCTCTGTTTCTTGTTGGCAAGACAAGGTACCACACTGGCTACATAGGTTAATGTTAAGTGATTCTCTTTAGCTTTCTAAGAGGGATCTCACAACAGCATATTGGCATTCATCTCAATAGGGCACTGCCTCTCAACATTGGTTCACATAAATTCTCCTCTACCCACTGCATGAACACTGCTCTGTCCATCCAAGGAGAGTGCTGAATGGCTGAGAGAGGACGCGGGGGGACGTGTGTGCCTGCTGCACTGTGATCCTTCCACTCCTTACAGTGGTTGTTTTCTAAATGTCTTAACCCTAACTCCAAATAACAAGCACACTTTTATTGTAATCCAGTATACACACATAAAACGGGGAAAAAGGTTTTTATGAAAATACAACACACACTATTTTCTATTGAGATAATATATTAATATATATAAAACATAACATTTATCAATTTAACCATTTTAAAGTGTACAGTTCAGCGACATAAAGTACATTTGCATTGTTGTGCACCTCTCACCTCCATCCCTCTCTAGAACTTTAAAATTTTTCCAAGATGAAACTCCATGTCCATTAAACTCTCACTCCCCACAGACCCTGGCAGCCACCACTATACTCCCCAAGAATTTGACTACTCTTGGGATAGCATATAAGTAGAATCATATAACATTTGTTTTTTCTCAAATTATTTTCTATTTTATGTTATTTTAAAAATTCCAGTTGTAACCAGTTATTTAATAACCCACAAATGTGCTCCAATTTGTAGTTTGAAAAATAACCTTAAATTAGCTCTCAGGTAAAACACTCCTTTACATCTAACTTACAAGAAAAAAAAAAAACAAAAAGGAAGAGTAATCTCCTAAGGTTCATAGAGTAAGCAACATGACAGAGAGAGCTCATAAGTACCATCATCCAAGAACTCTGAGACCTGAGGAGCACCTGAGTACTTCGGGGTCTGTGTATGCGAGAAGGACTACATGGCAAAGGCCAACTCCCTGGAGGACTTTGGACACAGAGTTCAATCACCAACTAAAAGTAAATAGCAAAGGGCCTCAAAAGCAAACCTGGTGAAAAAAGTAAGCATTTTTTCTACTCAAGGAAGAGAAGACAAAACTCAGCTTTAGCCCTAGGGAAGGATAAAGGAAAGAATTTTCTGGATTAATCCTGGGTTATACCACTGTGTAACTAGAAACACAGGTGACAAAGCAGTTCCAAATGTCAAGATTTATGTCTGAATGGCTTATAAAACTAAACAAGTTACCCCCAAAATCTAGATACATCTAAAAGTGCAGACCCAGGTAGCCAAATGGAGAGAAACAATATCTGGAAGGCCACAGTCAGTTTTTGGGAAGAGAGAGTTCAACCAGCAGAGAGAAAAGAAATGATTTAGCGATTTATCCATCATCATGCTTTCTCTGATTCCTTCACTGTCTGTATACACAAGAACCAAGACTTTGTGGAATGAAAAGCTTCTGCACACTCACATACTCATTCATACACACACAGGCTATGGATCGCTGTCTCAAAGATTACCAAATATGAGTGGACAGTGATTTTTTAAATGAGATCTTAAGGAAGTAAGAAGAAGAAGAAGAAGAAGAAGAAGAAAATATATACATATATATACACTAAAAAGCACATCCAAAGATGGAAGCACTTTATAAAACTCACCAGAGGTTTAATTTTTATCACATGAGGAAAGATCTATACACCCTTAAGCCATTTCTCTTTCCAAGATCCCTTCTGTCATGAGTCAGCATTTTGGGGGTAAGGATAAAAAGTCCTTATAACCAATCTGCTCTCACATGCTTTAATACTGTGAGAAGATGACCATGAAATATGGACAAGAAAGTACCAAAGTCTTGGGACAGATCAAGAGTTTAACATGATCATCAAACAACTTATACATGTTGAGATCTGCACAGTTACTATTGTGTTATATGATAAATGTCTGTAATTTGTGTGACTTTCCACAGCCAAAATAAATATTTCTGGAGTTATCTCTTCCAGGGTAAGGGAAGAGAGAAAAAAAAAAGTAAAAAGTTGTTCTGATCCATCAGAAGACACCTGATTGATATCAAACCCAGGGAACCTGCCAGGTTCCCTTTTATTCCTCTCAGGGCTAGTCACCTGGTAAGAGGCTGCCAACTGCAAATATGAGTGTGTGCTTGCTGGGTGTCTTCTGTTTATTCTCTCAACCCACCTTCTACCATTCCCCACCTTCTTCTCTGCCTCTGGAAGGGAGCTTTCTAGACTGCACCAACAGGCTACTTTGTCCTCTGGCTTCTTCTTAGATTCAGTCAGTGGGAGGTACCCACAAGGCAACTTAGAAGGCAGAAGGGGAGTGAGGTAATAGTATGTATTTTCCCGGTTCCTCTGTAGCCAGATCTCTGTACCTTGGCTGTGTTCCTCTACCATACATAGCTACAAACACCTACTCTGAGTTAGAGTTTTGACAATGGCTCTATCACTTGGCTCCCTTTTGCCTAAGATTGGGACCATTTCTCAGGGTTCCTAGCCCATACTTTCGTAGTTCATTAAACTCTCCTCAATCAGCCAGTCTGAGATGCCATCTGTTTCCTGTCAGAACCTGACTGACAAGAGGTTTACTTAGGCTTTAGCAACAGGTAACGGGTGTGGACAAATACATACATGATGGGAGTAAGATAAACAGCTGAAATGGATAGCATGACCAGGGCTCCAGAGGCTGCATCCCTTGCCTCTAGACCACTACACAGCAAATAGAAGAAGGGTTTCAAAGGTCAACACCATACAGGTCAACATTTACTTCAAATGCTCCCTCCCCAAAACCACAATAACATCAATCCATTTGTTTTCATATGACTAAGCAAACCATCTTTAGATATAGTTAAAGATATATCTAAAGATAGTGGAACCTAATTAATGACTCATTTTTTATGTTTTGAGACAGGGTCTCGCTCTGTCACCCAGCATGGAGTACAGTGGCATGATCTCGGCTCATTGCAACCTCTGTCTCCCAGGCTCAAGCAATCTTCCCACCTTAGCCTCCTGATTAGCTGGGACTACAGGCATGCACCGTTATGCTTGGCTAATTTTAAAAATTTTTTTGTGGAGAAAAAAGTCTCACTATATTGCCCAGTCTGGTCTTGAACTCTTGGACTCAAGCCATCTTCCCAAAGTGCTGGAATTATAGGTGTTAGCCACTGAGCCTATTATTGACTCTTTTTGTCTTTAGTCATTTTCACTGGGGGATCCCTGTCATCCACTGAACTGGCTGGCACCTATTCTGTCCTTAAGGTCTCAGTTTAGAAATCAATCTCTCAATACCAAATAGCATACTGGTGATGCGGACAGGCCTTAAACCTAGGTCTTCCACCTTGAAAGGTAGAATAGAAGTCTTCTGCCTCTATTAAATATTACCCGTATTTATATATTTACAGTGATGCCATTACTGTAGGAATATCAAAACTTCATCTCAATTATAGGCAAGAAGCTTTTTTTTTAAATTAGCCTTCATGAAACGTATTTTTGTGACCTTTCTTCTAGTAATGTCTAAGGTCAATCCTTCTCAACCTACTGAGACTATCTCTTATAAGACAATCTCTAATCATAAAAGTGCCAGGTTTTTGTCCAGATTTAGATTTCTCATGTGACAGAATATACTGAGGCTAACTGTAAAAGCTTTCTGTCTGCATGAAATGTTGACATATTATCAAAGCAGTACTGTTTTCTTTCTAGAAATTAGATGAATTATATTAAGGATACATATTATCCTTAATAGTGTTTTATTATGTTGACTTTTAAACCAACTCTTCTAATTTAATTTCATTAATATCAATTTCTATCTGAAAAAGTGATTAATCCCAAACAATTAAATTGAGATCAATTGTGGAATATCAGGTAAGTTGAAACATCTCTGGTGAGGACAAAGATCTGTGATCACAATGTCAGAAGCTTGGTGAAAAACTGCCTGACTTTGATTGTCTGCTTAAATTTTTGTTTCCTAAAGGCTCCACATTTCTGTACTGCTAAGCTTACCACAAAAGTGATTTTTATAAACGTGTCAGATTCCGAGGCATTAACTTTCTCTATGCTTCTTTCAATGATGAAAACACATTATTTCATAATTAGAATCAAGAAGTCATTTCTAACTTGATACTATTAATGAAACTCAAATTTAAAAAAAAATCAATGTAGTTATCCATAGCTCTATTTTCTGAGATTTCCTGGTTTCTGATGAGATAACCTAAACTTAGAAAGGCAATCTTTCCATCCATCTGACAATTCATCACAGGAGGGTGTTCATTTTATTACTGAATTATATACAAGTAAAATTAAAACACTACTTCTCTAATATATTTTCACTAATTCTGTAATAAAAGCTAAACTGTTAGGAAGGTAAATATTTTTAAAGAGCCCAAATGACCTAGTAATAGAATATATGAAATATAAAACACACAACACATTATCAAGCATATAAAATAATCGTGAAAAAGACTATGAGGCTACAGACCAAAATGTTAACAGAAGTTATCTCAGTGTGATTATGGGCAGTGTTGTTTTATTTTCCAAATGTTCTTCAATGAACATATATTATTATTATTTTTAGGTAGAGTCTCACTCTGTCTCCAGGCTGGAGTACAATGGCATGATCTTGGCTCACTGCAGCCTCCGCCTCCCAGGTTCAAGTGATTCTCCTGCAACAGCCTCCCAAGTAGCTGGGACTACAGGCACCTGCCACCACACCCAGCTAATTTTTATATTTTTAGTAGAGACAGAGTTTCACCATGTTGGCCAGGAAGGTCTCGATCTCTTGACCTTGTGATCAACCTACCACGGCCTCCCAGAGTTCTGGGATTACAGGCATAAGCCACCACGCCAGGCCTGAACATATATTATTAATAAAAATAAATATTTCCAAAGAAAAAGTATTCACAATAATTTATAGTAAAAATAGGAAGTAGACCACAAAGTGGTATGCTATGATTATAACCTTGTAAAATCGTGTACACATATGGGCAAAAAGTAACAGAGAAAAGAAAAAACATTTGATTTGCAAGGTATTGGAATAGTAGATGGTTTTTTATCTGTTATTGTCAGAATGTTGTTTCAGGGGAAAGAAGGAGGTGTTACATAAAAGGAATAAGAACAACACTAAGCCAGTCCATCAGGAGAAGTGGCACGTGGGGCATCAACAGCAATGAACGGCATAGCTTCATAGTGCCTTTTAAAGTTTTAAAAAACCAATTAAGAAGAAAATATTTCTAAAGTTCACCTTTTAGAAGGGGACAATTCATTTTATTTAACATTTCTTTTAATGCCCTAGGATAATCATTAAACATATTGATTATTATGTCATTAAGATTCTACTGAGGTGTGTGTATGACTCTATTCCTCTGTATTTTGAGATTCAAGATGACTAGACTTTTTGTTTAGTTTGCTTTTTTGCATTATTTTTTCTTTTTATATTTAAGGAACAGGTTCTTAGTGAGGGTTCACAGAGCTGCATTATGAGTAAAAACACAGGATTTTGAGTGCACAGACTTTGAAACATCAGATTTTGTCTTTCTTTGTGGTTCTCATCTGTTGTTCAGACAGATGCAGCTGCTAGACAGCTGAGATACAGTTAAGTGAGGGGTCACTAGATAGGAAAAGATGACTTGATCATTGTTTCCCAGGGTAATGCTACCATCTCATCTTTCACTGAATTACCTTTGGTCATCAGCTCCATTTTGACTGCTGTTCAAGACAATTCTCCAAAGATCTGAAGATACTAATTTCTTCTGGTCATTCACGAAATTGATATTCGGCAACTGCAGTTCACAAACTTTGCTTTCAGACAGACTAAATTCTCTAAATGCAACAAAAGACTTCTGGAGTTCATCCCAGTATTCCAAGCTACAAGGAACCTATGTTAAAATAAAAGAAAATTAGAAGTTGCAGATAGAAACTATGCTTTTATATTGGTTGAAATTCAAATTAAACCTTTATAAAAGTTATAATATTAAGACCTTTAGAGGAGAATAAGGTTATAAATTAACATTAAAGGGAAACAATAGTGCTGAGCACCATGATTATTCAGTAATAGTCCAAACAGCTGTCTGACTTTCTTTTTTGTTAGTAGTTAGAATTTCTTTTCATATTACTATAGATTCATCCTGTTTGTTTTTAAAGACCAATTCAAAAATAATACATAAAAACAGCCAAAATTTTAAAAGTAATAATGGGAACAAATTCTACAAGGTGTTAAATGTATTATAAACCCACAGTAAGAAAAAGATAAGGCTGGTGTAGTAACATACAAATAGATTAAAAGAAAAGAATAAAGTAGCACAGAAAGGGCTAAGTACAGACAAGATTTTACTGTGTAATGAAGGTGCTGGCCAGGCATGGTGGCTCATGCTTGTAATCCCAGCACTTTGGGAGGCCAAGGCAGGTAGATCACCTGAGGTCAGGAGTTCAAGACCAGCCTGGCCAACATGGTAAAACCCCGTCTCCACTAAAAATAGAAAAATTAGCCAGGTGTGGTGGCACACACCTGTAATCCCAGCTACTTGGGAGGCTGAGGCAGGGGAACTGCTTAAACTCAGGAGGCAGAGGTTGCAGTGAGCCGAGGTCATGCCACTGACTACACTCCAGCCAGGGCAATAGAGCAAGATTCTGCCTCAAAAAAAGAAAAAAAAAAAAAAAAATTAATGAAGGTGCCGTGTCAGATAAGTCGGAGAAAAATGGAAAATGACATTNAAAAAAAAAAAAAAATTAATGAAGGTGCCGTGTCAGATAAGTCGGAGAAAAATGGAAAATGACATTGCAAGAACTGACTAGTCACGTGGTAAAACCAGAGTTGGTCCCTACATCATTCTTTAAGGCAAGCTCCAAAGGATAAAAATGCTGAAAGCCTAAGAGAAAAAACATGTTATTATTTAAAAAATATTATAACAGGGTAGCCTTTTGTATGTATGGCATGAAACCCATGATAAAATCAAATTTAAAGAGTAAAATAGGACAAGACAGGTAATATTCGATGACAGGTCAAGGAATATTCATTCTGATAGGAGAGCGCTCTTACAAATCAATGAGAAAATGACACATAATCACAGAGAAAAGACTTTCTTTAAAAAAGGTAGATTTTACAAGTTCCTCAACTGTGCTAAATGTCTACTGCAAGCAGAGCATCCCCCGGGGGCTCTTCTGCATTACCCTTGTGAGACTTTGGAACGTGGAGAACCAATGAAAACATGATGCGCATGCTGCTTGCCATGCCACAAGCAATAGGCTTCTTTGCTTCTGACCAGGAATCTTATGCCTTCTGCCAGCATCCATGAAACACTAACAAGAAAGCTTACTAGCTTGCACTGGCTAATACCCGAGAACCTGATAGCAATTAGATTACAGAAAAACAAAACAAAACTATAACCAGTCAGTAAACACAAAAAGTTACTCAACGTTACCAATACTCAAAGAGATTCAAATTAAAGCATAATATTTAATAACCCTTCAGTTTAAGAAGACTGACACGTCTAAGTACTGTACAACTATGAGAAAAAAACTTTTTTTTTTTTTTTTAAGACGGAGTTTCACTTTTGTTGCCCAGGCTGGAGTGCAATGGCACGATCTTGACTCACCACAACCTCCACCTTCTGGGTTCAAGCAATTCTCCTGCCTCAGCCTCCTGAGTAGCTGGGATTACAGGCACACACCACCACGCCTAGCTAATTTTTTGTGTTTTTAGTAGAGACGGAGTTTCACCATGTTGGCCAGGAAGGTCTCGATCTCTTGACCTTGTGATCAACCTACCACGGCCTCCCAGAGTTCTGGGATTACAGGCATAAGC